AACAACGTCTTACGGAGCGCATGATAATGAATATTGCTCTTATTTTCTTATTTCCGAACCTTCCCTACCTTGCGCTGCTGTAGTTCTCTGAAGAGCTCACTCAAATCTTCTACCATTCTCATGCGTGAGTACAGTGAGACCGATAAGAATAAAATTGTGTTTTCATGTTATCGTTCGTTTCCAGCTTACCTTCATCTTGAATTGACGCACCAACTCCACGAAATCGTTCTTTGCTTTTATCGCTTTTGATGCCCTAAAGAGCTCTTGTACGCTAAAAAAAAAAGTCAAACCAGTATACTTAAGCAAATACATTATCATATATTTAAATGTATTTTAACTTGACTTCGTGTAAAAGTCATTTCATATATTTTCTTATGCCCAGCCGTCCATCAAAGAAATAATACTATTTAGAGAATGACACGTGGTCTGGAATGGGAAAATTGCACCCACGCTAGTGGTCTGTTATATTCACTTTCATATTCTTTGCGACATGACAAAGACAGACTGCGCGTGCTCTCGCTCTGCACTCACCTGTTGCGGGCTAATTGTTACTACCTGTAGCACCAAAAGCCTGACAGTTTCTTTTGCGTACAGAAAAAAACGAGATTTTTTTTACACAGGTCGTCTAAAAACAATGCGCATAATTCTTGGAAAGCCTATGCGTAGTTAAGTGAGGATGATAATTCTTGGGTAATTCTTATATAATTCTTGTTCATACCTTAAATGACTCATCTTTTTTATAAGAGAAGCAGCCACCTCATCATGACCATATTGCATGGCCGTCTCTACAGGAAGATCCCCTTGGAGATTGGCGCGCATCACCATTGAGGGGTATTCAACCGCGAGAAACTGGGTAATAGTTATGTGACCCTTAATTGCTGCTAGGTGTAGAGGAGTGTTGCCATGTTGACCACGCTTTTCTTCTAAGGAATTGCAAATTCCTCGCGAGGAAAGTATTTTAAGGAAACGATGGGTCTATAGAAGAATCATCATAGATAATTTATAACAGACGGACAGACGGACAGACAAATACCTGTGCTTCGTAATTCCATTTGGTCAGTAAGAACAAAGCAGCATCTTCACCATTACTACGACATTCCTCAAGGATGAGATCAACCCTCGCTTCATCCATAGCTTCCATTTCATGCATTCCAGCTTTCTGGATATTGCGCTTGACCTTGTTAT